AGATGATATCTTTAATAATAAAGGAAATATAACAATTTGAAATTTAGATTTGTTCGCACTTTTGAGTATCGTTTGGACGAAGCCGAAATATCACAAATTTCTATTTTCGGAAGGAATTTTCTCGGAAGTTAAAGAAACTACACTCTTGAAAACCTGGAGACAGGGGGTAGGCCATTTGAAATCTATCAGAATTTGGTATTTAGCTTAATTCGTGCCGAATATATAGACCTGGGAAAATGGACATATGCCGATATTAAGCGTTTTTTTGTCACATTTTTAAATCTTCAAATGGTCGTATCGCCAAAACTAGAAAAGGAATTTATAGGAGACAAGAAAATTATTTTGATATTAGAAGTTTGAAAATTTTAGTTGAGATACCTAGTTATAGCTGCCAATGCAGTGAAAACAGTGATTTAATTGAACAATTTTTATAGTGGACAGTGGTTAACTTGATCTAGCAATACACATCGGTGAAAACATGGTAGCAACGGTCATTGTACGAGGTATACCATCAGCGGCGGATTAAGGCTCACTGGTGCCCTAAGCACTGACCAATCTTGGTGCCCACTCCTTTCCACACTGACCCAGTCCATTTTAGTTGTTGACCTGTCTGACCAAATATACAATGCAGGTTGCAGCAGTACAAAAATTTATGTAGGATTTCAAGGAGGGTGGTGATAAACAAGCGGGGGGTATGGGCCGGAGTCCTCCCCCAGAAATTTTTTTAAATGTAGATCGCAGGAGATGGGATTTGAGGCAATTTTGAGCGTACATGCATGTACACCTTCATTCTGACTACGAGTCAATCTATTTGGTTTTTTTACATGTTTCAGTTGTGAGAAAGACCTCTCTGTTGTGCAGTTGGTGACCATTAATGTTAAAAATATTCTTAAGGCAATTTCAACATTTGGAAAGCACTCTCTAGTTTGTCTTCTGTAATTGTGTTGTAAAGTTCCATGTGAGTGAAAGATGTTTTCTTGGTTGTTTTAAACTTATGAAGAACATATAAATGGAACTGCTGAAGCTCTGTAGACAAAGTGTTGTTCATGTCATCTGGATAAGCATCAATCAGTGTCTGCCAAGTCTTTGAGTACCTTTATTTCTGATAATTGGGAATTAGCAACTTGTTGGGTGGCATTAGGGGCCCCTTGTATTGTATTGTATTGTTGGGGCCCCTTGTGGTACACCTGGGAAGTACAAATCTTTATTCGTTTTTTTTCTTTTCACCCTTTTCCCAACTTTGTGGTGCCCCCTTTGGCTTTGGTGTCCTAAGCACGTACTTAGTCTGCTTAATGGTTAATCCGGCACTGTATACCATATCCAACATTTATCGTTTATTCTTTGAAAACTTGAAATAAAAACCATGAACCAAAAACCACAAAAAATGCAGCCATTTCTTAGAGATCGAGTAACGAAAAGATGTCACATTAGCGATTGAGCTGACAGACATAATCAGCCTATCATCATTACTCAGCCAAGTGATCAAGCTTAGGCCAGTTTTTGTTTTTGTTTTGTTTACAGAATTTTTGTTGTTTTGACTCGGTAAGGTAAAAAAAAAAGTCGTTTTGTCAGATCAAACAAGTCAAAATACAGTGATACTGTTATACATGATATTAAAGTATTTTAAGAAAACTAAATGAAAACAAAACTTGTAATTATTTTTACTTTTATTATAAACTGTTTGTTTATAAAATGTTTTTGTTTTTTACATTTACATTTTTTTATTCATATTTCTTAGAGAAAAGGTCGGCGGGAATAAAAAATACAGATTTTCAATTTTTATTTTTTTTAGTTTTTCTTGAAAATTCGGGTCGACGGATCTGTAAACCAAAAACATAACAAAATCTCGCCTTATTATGTGCCCTGGTATCACTGACAGTGACACTGATGCCACTCCACAGTACAGGGGCAGTTCGTACCAATCCTGTAATACAAATGAATGTATGATGTAAAATGTTAGAATAGTTGAATTTATGTTGAATGTAGATCACACTCCTGTTATTTATTGACTTTCGACATTCGAAAGTAGGGTTGTACCATTTTTTTTATTTTTTTTATTTTTTTATTTAGGCAATTATCCATCATAATTATACAATACATAGCTAGCAGTAGCATATATACTTTTACAATAAAATTCTGAATTCATAAAATTGGATAACTACCAAGGATATATATACACAAAAAGCATGACTAGCACACTGTCACTTATTTACATTGTCAATGTGGTCCTTGTTTTGCTATGCCTTGAATCTAACAATTACACTACTATCAGCTAGTGGTGTTCCGATTAATCGAGTTCGTCGATCATTACTCGTTTGGGCTGCCGAGTTGATTAATCAAGTAGAAAATCGGACGACCAAGTACAACTCGAACTTTTTTTTAAAACTTCGAATGTTCTTCTTTTCAGAATGTTACATAAACAGTTTGTAAGTACATACCTATACACATACAACTTCGTGGTACATAGACTTGTGAACATTAGTCTTGCTATTAGGGATCATATAATATCAAGAGCGTATAAATAAGGAGAGCGTACAACGGTGAAATGGTGAAACCATGTTGCAGTATTAGTCGAATTAAGATACTTTGTGATATTCTTGATCAGCTGTCCTTTAATATAAACCAAACCGCTTGTCCCTACGATGCTCCTACGCTGAGATAATCAGCGGTGAAAATCTGGTATTTCAGTGGGAAAAAAATTATTGATAGCATAGAGAGACATCTCTCTTATGTAATGGATATGAGTTTGATTAAATTTGATGAGCAGTTATGTTGCAATGCCCTTTAGAGTGTTACCCGTCCGTAACCCTAACAGTATCCTTAATTTACTTACCATATACTAGCTACACATACAATAATGTCAATATTCCTTCGCAATACACCGGTTGTGTCGACGATGACGCGTCGTCGCCGCAATCTAAAATGATTGATGATTAATCGATCATCGGTCGTTTTGTAAAACCGATGATCGATCATGAAATTTGGACCGATCTCCAACACTACCGTGTAGTGCCGTCTGCTTTCCATGTTTAGTCTGTGGCCGTGGTTAGTCCGCGATCCCCACATAGTGTTGGCCCCCAACACAGCCTACTTCATTATCACGAGCGTCCGTGATTAATTCGTACGTGGATTCCACGTTCATTACAATCAGAGCTATTGTTACGTGTACAGTTA